ATTTAGAAGTAGTTTTCACCGAAAAACTGCCATAAGAACATACAAGTATAGTAGATAAACAGTTTTTTTATACGAAGTTTGGAACATATGAGTTTCGATATCAAATGGTAAATAAAATCAGACATAAGACAATAAAATATCTAACAACATACATTCGGATTGAGAGTCAAAAGCAGTGTTGCCAACTCATTTTTTTTTTTATGAATCATGTGAGTTTCTTTTAATATTCTAGCTTGCTTGTCCGGCTTGCCCTTTTGGAAACATCCGATAAAAATCAAATAAAAAAATAATACTTTTATCTTCGGACAGCAGGATTCCGGTTACACATATTATATTGAAATTTAGGTGTACAAAAAAAAAAATACATTATAATCTTTAATCGACATTGCTACCGTCTTGGCAGCCGGAACGGGTTCTTTGGCTTTTGACGTCGAACATCGTGTGGGTGTTTTTTTTATCGATAGGTCGGACGGCAACCGATTAAAAAAATGCCCCATTGGTCTATGTAAACCAATGATTGCTCGAAAAAAATATCTATATTTTCTCAGATATGGATCAAAATATTATTAATTCATAAAAACAGGGGGAAAAACCACACAAACGAATTGTGTGGTCCGCCAACAAAACTCTTACAGCAACCGTCTTAAACGCTGCACAGCTAAAGAAGTTGTTGTGCACAGACAAAACGACTACCGTTTTATACAGTCGTATCTTGTGTAGCGTTTAATTTGAAAATACACTTGCAAACTTTTGTGGGCGGCCATGTAAGTTCATGTAAGTCTGTACTTACCCGACACACTGGTTATATTTTGTTAAAAACACACGGTGTGCGTTTCAAGTACACCTAGGCGGTACCTAGTGAGTTTTCATTTCCTCTCTTTTTTTTTTTATCATGTATTACACATTATATATATATATTATAAAATTATCAATTCATCAAAAGACTATACCTTGTCGCTGCTATAGGTCTAAGTACGAATGCTTAGACGGCGGCGGTGGCGTTTTAAACCGGTCCATTCGATTCTTATAGTACAATATAATATAATGGTGTAATTTGTCTAATGTACGATAATTATTAAATTGTTAGTGTACAGCTGTATAGTAGCCGGCCGGTCCAGAATGCATTTAAGAAGGTACACGCGGCCATTCCATTATAAAGTGTTATTATTTTTATTTTTTCAGTCGTCCACTCTTAAAAGGGTCTGCGCGCATTTTTTTCTTACATCCTACATGTATAATATATATATATATATATATATATATACCTAAGATTGTACGCGCCGAAACACAATATGTAATATATAATAATAATAATATTATTGTTATAAAGAAGTCGTTTCAGCACTACTCAGGTGTGTGTGTGTAATCACTTATCTTTTTTTTTTCAACCTTACTTTCGTTCCAAAAAGTACCTCGGCTGTAGATATGATATTATTATTCTTTTTCGGCCATCCGCATAATTGCAATCCGTTTCCTTAACGGTAAACCATAGTGTATATAAGAGATGAACAAACACATAACAAAAATGTCCTCGTCGGTTAAGCGATTGGTACTTTGTAATATTATGACAAAATAAGTTGTTACCCTTTTAGTTAGGCTACGTTATAATACATAATATGATGATGATGATGGCAAATCTTCTCCTCTGTATTCTAATGGCCCTAGTCCAAAATAGTAGGGTTTCTTGTGTGTAATTAAAAATAAAAAAATTGTTGTTAGCGAGTCCAGTAGATACTTTCAGTGTTCACGAGGCGGCGGTCTCTCAACACACTTATTGTAGGTGTGTCCGGTAGTTATAATAATTTATAATATTATTTTCACCGACGATTCGCTCTTTATAGCATCTTTCATTAATTAACGACCGAGCACTAAGCGGTGTACGAATAGTGTGTGTGTGTGTGTGTACTTCAGCTGAGCGTTCACGGATCTCCTCCTAAATCGAAAACTGAGTACTTAAACCGATATGTCTGACATGGGTCTCCCCTCGGGTTAAAGTGTAAGATATTAGAGAATCGATTGATAAAGTGAAAATGTAATGAAAAGTGGAGAAAATATCATGCGTTTTTGTTGTTATTAAAGAGTACAAGTAGGTAAAATTATAAAATAATTTTTTATAAGCAAAAACCGAACAAATTATGTTTTATTGACTTAAAAATTACTTCTACTTCGTTTGTGTTGACGTTTAATTATGATAGTTATATTGTTTGTTATTACGTGATTCATATTCATATCTTTGATATTTATAAATTATGTACTTGCTACGATATTTACTGTCAGTTTATTCGATTGTAATAATTGGTATTAATTTCTTAAAGATTGATATTTTTATTATTACAAGTGTTTTTTTTTTTTAATTACCTTTCAACCAATAAGTTAGGTACATAAGTCATAACATAATATATCTACATACTAACCGAGTAGGCGATTTACATAATAAATATTTGCACTGATTTCTACTTAGTAGGTAGGTTTACAGTCATATACACTGTACACACACACACGGTTAACTAGCAGCACTTGACAATACAATAATAATATTACAACAAATATATAATTCAATCGATTCCAATATATGTTATACAAATCGCCTACGCCTAACCATTATCGTTATTAGCGGTGTATGATTATTAAAAAACAATTTTTTTTTTTATAACATCTATCATACTCGATCACGTACTCTACTATATATAGGTCTGCGCATATTTTATTATAATAATAATAATATTATTATTGGCCGCGATTGTCAAACTTGGCCCATGACAAATAAATACCTACATTGTTACGTGTATTAAAAAAAATAAAATATAGTATCTATCCACGCTAAAACGGACAAGTGCGATAGTGGTAAACGTTCAGGCTGTGACAAAAAAAAAATGAAAAAAACATATACAAGTTTAAAAAAAAGCTCATTGCACGTATAACGTGTGTTTGGTCTTAAACAAGATGTAGATTTTTTTCTATGAATTTTTCTTTCAGTCGACACGCATAACTTGCAGCTGTTATCGGTCGAAGGGGGCGCGCGTGCTCGATTGAAAGATAAGTGTGGAACAAAAAGAAAAACAATAATATATTTATAAAATATATACATATATATATATATATATATATATATATATATATATATATATATATATATATATATATAAAGCGAAGAAGAAGAAGATCGGTGTGTCGGATACATTGGAAAATCTCGGGAAACGGCAAAAGATTTATTTGAGATCTAAAAAAAAGATATTTTGCACGTTTTCTTTTGTGTTCCGGTTAGCGATAAAAATTCGCAGTTTATACATTTTTCAGTTCAGCCAAGCGACACCACAATGCTAGAATCAAAAAAACATAATATACATGATCCAAAAAATGAGAAAATCAGTTCTTTGGCGACTTTACTAGGTCTTGTAGGGAACAGAATTTCGATTTGCTGAATGTTGGACCGTCCTAAGTATAAACAGTTATTTAAATTAGAAAAATAGTACCTTCAAGCTTATAGGTACAAATTAATAAAATAACTGACATGGCCGATATTAAAACCTCTTTTTTTTCTTGAATATTGCCTATACAAAACTCCTTAAAAACGGACAGCACGCCCTTGAGACGTTTTAAAGAATGTAAAATTGTTTAATTTTGTAAACATGCCGACAATTTTTTCATCTGGTTTTTTACCTTTTGGTGTCAAAACTCACATTTCAATGGCATATTTAAGGTTTTCTTTGCAAACTACTTAAATACAATGTCACCGGTGTAACGTGTCACCGGTATGGATTTATGATCCTTTTGATCTTTGGATCTAGTGGGTTTTGATTCTATCCTACCGACAAATGTAGGCCAAAATGGGTCTCATATAATTATTAGGTTTCATCAGAACACCCCAGTAGGATGGTTATTTTCAATTAATTTATATATGTAGGTACATAAAATAAAGTGTTGACTGCGAAATGCTTTTAAATCGGATGACGAATTATGGCGACTTATATATATATATATATATATATACATAGGTACACCGATGATGATTATTTAAACGCCCGCTTGTAAGTCTTGTAGTGGCAGCAAATTTATTGCTCGGAAACGGCAATATTATACATCCTCTATCGGAAGTGATCATATATATTAATATAAATAGGTACCTTATATTATAATGTGGTTAGTGCGAATTCTGCACTTAGGCCGCCGGTTAGGTTAACGAGTTACAAGAGCATCGCTATTTAATGGGGACGTACCTTAATCTATACGGAACACGTGTTAATTTCATGGGTCATCATTATTGATCATCATTATATGCATAAGGATAAAGTGCATATAATAAAAATTGTTTTTATATTATGTTACTACAAGCGTCGACTATTCAAACGAGTATGTTTGTGTTTCTGCAAGAGTGTGTGCTTACTGGCTATAAGACGGTAGGGTACAGCTGTTGTAAGACAAGTTGTCTTTTGAAAAAGTTTTTGTCTATGTCGTTTTGTAATATTGTATAAAATTACTAAAATATTTCCCCGTTTTTAGTCTTTTGACACTTTGACCGTAACTTATACATTATATTTAATTAACTGCTTAAATTAAGAATAATTTGCAGCGAAATGTTGACCGGTCTATTTTGAATAATACATTTTTAAGTTATTTAAGTTTTAAATCAATGACGGCGGGAGGGTGGGTGGAGTGTAGTATTATTTTGTGCTCTTGTCATTGATTTTCAACCAAAATCGGTTATCGACCAGTCAAAATTTGCAGAAAATCGAGTTTTGTAAAACGACATAAACTAATAAAGTGCCTCCAAAAAGGAAAAATACAAAAATGCAATCATTTCAAGAGAAAATCAGTGTCAAGTCCTTATAACGAATCACCCTGTATAAAGACTTACTCAGTTAAACCATTGCCATATAGTTTGCTCTTATACTTAATCAGTCTTCTCATTATAATATTTTGAAAAACAAATTTTTCCATAATATATATATAGTATGTATATATTTAATATCATTATATCTTTTATTTTTCATTTATTCCAGGATCGGCTTACCGGACATGGTGCAGTTGCGTCCATTGGCGGTGGTGGTGGCGGAGGTAGTGGCGGGGGTAGCGGGGGAGGCGGAGGCGGTGGAGGCGGCGGCGGCGGAGGCTCGTCGCCGTTCAGCCCTCACCACCATCACCACCATCACCATCACCGGAACACGACGCCCACCAACTCGGGTTCCAACATGGGCCACCACCAGGACTTCCAGCCGCCCTATTTTCCCCCGCCCTTCCCGCCGTCGCACCACCACCATCAGCCGTCCGCGGGCAACGCGACGTCCCCGTCCGCCATGGACTACATCAACGACCCGTACTCGCAGACCCTCAACAGCCTGCACCAAAGCGCCCAAGCCGCGGCGGCCGCTCACCACTACAATCAGCTGACCGTGGCCGCCGTGTCCGTCGGACAGCGGCACGACGCCTTGAGGCGGTCCGAATCCGACTCCATACACGTCGTAAGTACCTTACCTATATTATAGTCTTGTTACAGACGTCTATAGTTTCAAAACGGTTTTTTTTCGTATTTCCTAAATGGTTACACTGGTAAAAATATTGACCATCAAACATGGTTATAACTGATAATGGAAGATTGTGGTTGGTTTAAAAATCTCACCCACCTGATGATGTTTATATAAATTTTAAACATAATCAATGTTCGTTTCAAACCCGCCTATATCATTAGGTCAATTTTAAAACAAGCCATATGTGAAAACAAACTTAAGCTGTTGACTACAAAAACATTCGCAGGACGAAATCGACAACAAAACCAGCTATATCAATATGATAAATTTATTTTTAACTCTTGTAACAAGATGTTTGTACAATTAATCTTCATACACAACGTATCAAATCTTAACCTTATTTTCATTTTTTGTTATTTTTGAAAATAGACACCGACTGAACTTATAGTTTTATGTGTTAGAAATTACACGAAATCAAAATCCCATAAGTTGCTTGTAAAAGGGTTTTTTTACCGACTCCAAACAAATATACCGAAAACAGGCCGGTAAAAATAATAGTTACAATTATCTGTTTAAATAATAGCTGGGAATAGTTTGAAATAGACTTCAACGACTATACGTTTCGAGTAAATCTTTATACAGGCCTTTATATATATATATAATGGGATTTGAACGGTAAAGAGGTGAAACGTAGAAGAATTTAGTACTTCTATCCGAGTAGAGTTTTCCAAGTTGTCTACAGTCTACACTATGCTTGAATCACTATATATATATTATTATTACAGTCATGTGTGTCACGATAAGGCATCGCATTCCACAGCAGAATCGCTCGTTACATACTTAAGGGGACTGTCTTGGTCGTTTGTATGGTATTTTAAATTTTACATATTATGCATGTAATATTTCCGTCTGGAGTAAAAATAATTAATTGTCCGTTCCGGTTTCCACCTGAATAACTGCCACTTGATAATTCCAAACTCTAAAATCCATAAGCGATATTACTTATGTCTGTGTCTATTTCAAACTCATCCATCGCACACTGTACATAATATATTATACATTCGGTTACACGATTGCTGTGTTCTAAAGTTGTCACGAACTCGTTCAGCGAGTGAAATTTGTTTTTCCATTTAAATTAATACACAAGACAAGACAACCAAACCGATTGTCACGACCTACAATACATTGTTGCGAAACACATTATTATAGTGATTGATAAAATATGTACCATTTCCATTCGTTTCAACCCTTAAACAGAATTTGAGTGAAAATATTATTACTTAGACGGAATGTCAGTTTTGGACCCTGATGGAGTTTCATAAAGAAAGTGAATTTCTCTCCCCCCAAAAGCCATTAGTTGTACACAATCATTAATTATACATTGATTGACAATACAGATTATTTGCCGTATACTTAATCCTATTATTATAATAAAATACTATAAATTATTATAATATATTAATTGTTATTTATGCCTTCATTTTAAACTGTTCTGGTTTAAACCGTACTCGGTTCGCACTATACTGATTTAGACTGTACTTGCGGTTTGTACTGTACTATATGCCCTTTAATTGGGTATAATTACCCGGTTTATACTTTGTCGTTTATTTATTTAACGGTTTTAACTCGGTTGTTGTCGACCACGCCCCTCCCAGATATATTTTCCAACTGAGAATCATTCTAGGAGTACACCTATAAATTTAACATAATAATATATTATAATATGCAACACCGCTCACTGTCGTATCTCGTGTCCACCGAAGAAACGTGACCCGGCCGGCCCCCTTGATCGCGACTTTGACCCATAAAAAACAAATAATAATAATAAATACATTTAGTCTTATGTTGTATCCGGCATCACCTCTGCGACGATTAATCGGATTAGATATTATTATATTATACCTATTATGTGTAATACTATATTACTATTAAAAAGCGGTTCGCGGGGGTCGTATCTTATAGGGGGGTCACAGATCGAGCATTGCAAACAAGTAACACTAATCATATAATATATATAATATACTATACTTACGGGTCAAAAGAGTGTTACCCACGGCTGTTGTATAACATAATATTATGATCTATAAGCCGTCCAAGGTATAGGCAAGACGGTCGTGTGAGTTGGTAACCTATTTGTATGCATTTTCTAGACATTCCCTCCGGATTAAAAGGGGCTGCAAAAGGTTTCAGATACAAATCGGTGTCGGACCGCAAGACGAGGAGGCCGGCCGCAAAGATTACCGTAAAGTACTTATGTATATATATATATATATATATACACATCTACACTTAATATATATATACCTAAGTATTATGTGCTGCCACGGTAGTCGGAACGGCACGAGAGTTAATTAAAACGGCCGGCGTGAAATCGTTCAAGCCGACCAACGCCAACGAGATTCCTTTTTTTTTATTATTATTTATTATTTTTAACGAGAGAGAGAGAGAGACAGACAGACAGAGAGATATATAAGTATATAATAATAATAATTAATACCAAGCTGGTACACACACACACCGTGCTTGGGTATAAGTAGCAGAATGTCTGTATCTATACAGCTGTTGTTGTATACACACACACTACATATCACCGTTAATGGGTCCGAGGAAATCGATTCGACCACTTTCATCGTGAAAAGTGGGCGTCGGTCGACGTGAGGTGGTCGCTGCTACTATACTTCTTCTCCTCTTGTCTCCTGTCTGGCCACATATGCAGGCCAACGGTTTTAATTACTGCGGAGAAGAAAATTAAAAGGAATCTCCAAAAAAAAAAATAATAATAAGGAGTGTCTTAAAATTAGTTCATAACCAAATTTATAATTGCCACAATTATCGGACCTGCGAGATCTATAATATAATCATATGTGATCTAGGGCCGAAGAGTTCACAAGAACACAATAAGGTCTTGTGAAGGATAGATGTGCGTGCTCATCTCTGGCCACTAGTCCTGCGCTGGTTGATTTTTTTCGGTTTAGTCCAATCCCCAATGTACTAGAATAGACGTGGGCGGGTGTATTGTGTTTCCTTCGGATTCGCAATGGTTATAATTTTAAGTATAACACGAAAATATATATGATTTAATCGAGGGGAAAATATTATAGTCGCATTTCCCTACAGATTTTGGCTCGCTCGTGGGGCGGAATTTTCTGAATTCCGGACGTCTTAATTATTTAATAACGTATATTATGTCAGAGGGGTTGGTTAGTGTGGAACGGACGCTTAACGCATTTAATATTATCTTCACTCCTATGTGCTGTTGTTATTATCATCATTATAGTGATTATATAGCATAACATTTATACAACATCATAATAAGCGCGGGGTTTTTTGGAATGTGTTCAAAAATATGTTGTACATAATAATATAAATAAATACTTTTTTCCCATAGCGTTTAATCAAATTTTCAGAACGCTCAATATTTTGTAATATTAATATGTAAGTACATCAGATGTTTAAGATGCGCGTAGTGTGTCTTGTAACAATGTCTAAAATAAGGCATTCCGTCAAATTAAAATCCGTTTTTACAATGAATTTTAATATCGTTGATAACCGACGGGAAATTCCAATTCATCTGATAAAAAAGTCTTTGCGAAAAACAAAATTAAAAAAATATTATTAAAATTTATTTTGCTAAAAAAAAAATAATAATAATATAAACTTGATTTTGGCAGTGTTCGTGTAATGTATAATGTGACTATATTAATTCTTTATTTTAGATTAAAAAATACCGGTCTTTGTAATTATACAGTTAATGTAAAAATATTATCAAAATTATTATTACTGTAGTCACAACACAAAATAATTTTAATACACTTTTAGGCTGAAATTGGCTTTTTGTATTTTTCAATGCAAACCAAAATTTTTCCTTTTCAGCGCACTCGTTGTACAGCAGAAATGCAACATGTTTATTAAACAACAATACATTTTCATTCAGTTGGCATTATATTTTCTAGTTATTATAAAGAAATTGCTATCTATCAGCGATGTTGTAAACATAATTTTTTTTAGATTTCTATACTTTCTTATTTATTTTTTTCCGAATTCCTGATAATTCAATCTACTCAAAAATACATTGGCCATTTAATTTGTTAATCTCCAATCAGCCTATTAACATTCTACGGGCTGTGCATACTCCTTGGCGTCGTTACACCGTCAAAGCACAGTTATAGGCATGTTTCGTTGACTGTTTATGTGTTTACATTAAAAATCTTAGATTTGTTTTTCCTACGCGTTTAATTCATACATAGGTATATAAGGCCATTACACACCACTTACCTATACCCTGCATAACGTGCAGCCAGGTGAGTGCGTGTCCACGACATCATCATAAAAAAAACTGCGTGCAATTCGATCCGACACTATTTTTTTTATTATCGCTCAATAAAAAAAAAAAATACCACCTTCGCCTCTTTTTATGGCATAATATTATATTCATCGACAACGAAATTTTATTCCGGACAAGTTTATCCGTTAATCTGCATACATCTACGAATATGTTTTTCTTTAAAGTGCACTCAACAACTTAGCACACGCGTGTCTACCCGTCTTTAAGAGTTTTTTCACAGCAAAATTTGAAATTGGGCCCTTGTTCTTCTAATAAGCGTCTCGATTAACAAAATCAGTTTAAAAACAAGTCATCCAACTTTTAAAAAAAATGTTTATTGTATATATTATGTTGGCTACCCTGCTCTCCTTATGACAAATGTTTACAAATAACATGCTGAATACATATCCGCGCTGTAAATGCGGATATAAGTTTGCGTTTAACGCCGCTCCAGTTATCCAGTTGGGTAAAATAAACAAATCAATATTGCCAAAAAATGTTCTTAAAAAACTTTCTCGGATCACATATGATTATACATTATATACACATACATAGGTACAGCTGTGTTTAACGATCGGATTAGTTTCTGTGGCGGTGCGGGCGCCCTTCCGTCACTTTTATGGAATGTTGTTTCGGACGTAGGAAAAAAGACTCGTATTTTATGTACCTGATATATATATATATATATATACATGATATTCGTACTTAACCAGCGTCAGCAGATTTAGAAGCTTATATGTATATAATGCTGTAACCGATTTGGGCTTGGCTAAACGGGACCGGATCCGTATAGAAGAGTAATGGTACTGCATATATATATATATATATATATGTATGTATACAGCGCACACGAGCTAATAACAATAATTACTATCATCGATACGCGTGCACACTCACACGCGCTGGCTCTTATATATTATACATAGTGTATGGCCTTTATTTTTTACATATTATCATATATTTATGCGTTTATTGTGTGTGTGTATATACACATAAGTATATAATACATAGGGATCCGGAATATCTAGGTTACGCGAACAACAGTGGTCGCCTTCTTATAATATTATATACGTATATATAGCGACCGACGGTTTCTTGGGAGAGACCTCTCCCATATCTGGTTACAAGACCCGTAATTATAAGCGGCCGGCGTATAGGGGGACAAAAAAAACGATATGCATATACCTACAATATATACCGCGTGTACAAGTCGTATGTAAAACATATACATTATACTTACACATTTGTAGGTATACATGTACAAAATGCGTACGTCGAAATCAACCCGCGTTCACTCGTCGTCATAATTAATATACATGCGAAATAGCTTATTAAATATGGTGGCCCGTAGGAACCCATGTAATTTTTTACCAAGTTTCCCTTCTGGTTATTCTGCGGTGTTATCATCGTGTTATCGTCACTAGCCCAGGTATATTGTATGTATACAATAAACTATATTACCAACTAGTGATAAGAGTTGCAGTGGACGTCCGCCATTTTTGTGGGATTTATGTGCAATATATCTATATTTGTGATATTCTGTTTTGAACTCGATGCAGTACGGCCAAATTATAGTGTCGAAAATATTGTAGTACACCCTATCAATTATAATAACTGAATATGTTAACTGATAAGTGTTACTGATAACAAGTAGTTGATTATGGACACAGATATGTATATATAATAAACTAGCTAACAAGTGATAAGAATTGAAGTCGACGTTGGCCATTTTTGCGGGATTTGTGTGTGTATAAAATAATATATTTATGTATATTTGTGGTTCTCTGTTTTCAACTTAACTTTTAATTGTTATAAACATATTTATAGGATTCCAATTCCCGCAAATAGGACGGAAAATGGTAACTTATTATCTCTATTGGCGACATAATATGTAGAGGTACACTTGGCAATCTAGTTTATTACCTATATATATATATATATATATATATATATATATATGTATCACCAGCTAACCTGACGTTTTAATATTTATCAAGGAGAGTAACGTAATGTTTTTTACTTTTCATGAAATTGTACCTACACAACATGGCAGCGTCCTTGGTCTGGACATATTTTAACCCGTATATGCGCGTTCCTATATCGAGTTCAGTGCCAAATTGTCTTGTTTTTCATGCGATATGATTTCAGTGGATATGTCCAATAACGATTACAATATTATTCTTACTTGTTCCAGGGCAACATGCACCCTTCGTTCCCGTACGAGAGCGGCCGGTCACGGGGTGGCGAATACGGTTCGGGAGTCGGCGGAGTCCGCGGTCGAGGGGACGTCCTGGTCCAGACGCATCCCGGCCTGGAAGACTCGTTGGTCTTGCACAACGCCCTGTCTAGCGTGGTCGAAGAAGCTCAGGTACGTTAAAACGTCTCATTAGGTGAAACAATACACACACACACACTTTATAAGTACTAATGACTATAAACATATAGGGTCAAACCGGTATGTTGCCGTGTATGGGTTTAAGTACTGCACCACGTCGTGCATCGACCGCGCCCACACTGCAAAGGGGGTGAACAACGAAAACTCCCATATCCGTTTTGGTTTTTTAACTTCGTCACTTCGATAGTTACCTGGATGTGTGTCGGTAATGAATATATAATAAATAGGTACAACGTGTGATTGATGAAGTGTGTATACAACGCCGCCGCCGCAGTCAATATAATTAACCGAGAGGACGTTGTTTTATGCACGCGGGCTAGCTCGTATGTACTTATTTTTTAACACCGAAACCGACCGTTAAGTTTCTTTTGAAACCCATCTTCAACCGAATCGGTAATACCGTAAAAACCGAATCTGCAATCTACTTCATGTAACCCCGAGAAAAAAAAAACACTACATCGGTATAAAATATTGTACACTTGATCATATGATTTAAACGATAACTGACTATATATTATCACTGATTAGATAATTTCTTATATCTAATCCGTGATATTATTAGGAAATTTTATGCCCGAGTCTACGGTCACACTGATTTCATTTTGGGTCATGGTTTTGGTTTACATGCCAAATGAGCTATCTGTTTTCAAAGTCTGTGAGGTAACCCTCAGACCAGGGGATATTGAACCCAGTTTGTCAACTTCAGGGATTAATCTCTATATTTAGAAAATTTTAACTTAAAACTACAGACGGATTTTAAGTAATTTTTTCCTCATTTATGTATATGCACAATGTATAATTCAATGTTAGCTACAATTATTGTAACTAAAATCTAATCAATGTTTATCAGTGTTAACTGTTTTCAATAGAACCCTAGCAAACAACATAATACAAATAATATAATAACATTTTTTTTCTATTATTATTCAGATGTTAAGTTAATGATTAGAAAATTGCTATTAAGTAATACAAAATCATCTACTAAATCCAATAATAATTACAACAAACCGTCCAGAAGCGTTTAATATGATAAACACAAAGCTGGTTCTAGGCACAACCGAAATTTCCATTTAACATCAACATATATAGTATATACTGTTATAATTATTAAATGTAGGTATAATATGAAACGGCTACTACTCGCAAAGCGTTTCTTATATTATTATGCTGAGATTTAAATGGACACGTACGATACCTATATATCAATTATATATTTATTTTCGATAAACTTTAGACGGCCACACCTCCCGGACCGTGTGTGCCCGTTTATCTATATATTATATACTTAAAATAATAAGATAATAATATTAATAACACAAGTAGGTATACGCTCGAATGCGCGAGAACGGCTCCCGACATACGGTTTTATAAGTTATTATTATTATTTTTTAATCAAATGTGCTCACAAACTCGTTAAGAACGTTTATCAGATCTCTTGTGTTATAAAAAAATATTATACTTTAGACCAGCCTTCAATGTCTTTAATACTACAATAAATTGGGGTTACTCATTCTAGCAGATCGGTAGCCTAAGTAACTGAACTACCGGGTGTACGTTATTAATAATTGTATTTTGTTTTGTTAATAGGAACACAACGTAGACGATAGCAGTTCGTTCATGAACGACTTGCCGTTGTTGAAACGTAAGTACATCAATTTTTTTTATTATCTTTAATAGTTGTAACTATGCAAAAACCGTGTCTTTATCACTGACGATTATAAGACTGTAGACAAACTCTCAGGGCAATTGAGTAGCTAATGCAGTTCTCCATTGTGCATACAATACTGTGTTTTTATGATTTCAAATTGTGCACATTTTCTGAGATGTTGTGGCTATTAGTTAAATATAAAATACTTAATAAGCTACAAATAATTGTCGAGTAGAAAGGACAATAAAAGAGAAAGACCATAAACTGAAAATGTAGTATAAAACCATATAATATGAAAGTTTTACACACATCGACAAAATAATTATTTATTTTTACAGACTTATTTTTAATGTGGTGTTTCTTGAGCGACATTGTAAGAGTGGTGGTGTAACTCCAAATGCTTAAAATATACACATTTGTTGGCAATATTATACATGATATAATATTGTTCTAAAACTATCAACTTTTTGAAAAGTTAGTTGAACCGGACTTACGCTAAATAATAACATCTCTTAGCTATACGTAGATTTTCACTACCCGCTTGTATAGGAAACATAACGTTTATTTATCTTTAAGGGTTATACTATAATACTAGTGTAGTATGAAAATGTTCCACATGATTGCTCACCCACCGGCAAATGTCGCCGATTGGCCGGCCGGCGGGGCCAATAAAATAAAGTTGGGCTTCCCGCTGACGTGAACAAAATATATGTATTATATTTATTATCACACTTAAGTAGAGTTTATATATATATATATATGTATATTTTTTTTCTGAAGGGTTCTCCTCCTCTGCATGAGTCGCCCGAGGCCAATCGGGTCCCAGGTGCCGCCGTCGTACAATCTCAGGCCGGTGGTGGTCCCCCAATGAATGCAATTTTCTAGCCTGACAAACCCATTCGGTGTAATTATTTCATTAAACCCGATTTAATATAATATTATATTATTGTACACATTCGATTCCGCTCGAAAAACTTCCGGAAATAAATCAAGTCCTCTCCCCCCCCCCTATTCATCGTTTGAGGGTAGCAAGTCTGCGCTCTACAAAAAACCGTTCGGTGATTTTTTAACGATTTCGATTTTTGGACGAGTTTGTACATATAGCTGCGCTGCGCTGTGCTGAGAAAAAAATTTAAATAAAAAATAATCCAAACACAGCGTGGTGAACGGTATAATATTATATTATTATTACTATATACCTACTACTGTTTAATGTGGCCGGCAAATGGAAAAAGGGGTGACGAACGTGATTTCGTGACGGTATTGCGGAAGGGCTGCTGTGCAGAAACGATGACTTTTTTTCCTCCCTTTGGATATATTATGTTGTATATTACAATATAATAATTTTATCTCGTTGCCGCTTCATATAATATATAATGAACCCGGCAAAGCTGCAGAGAACATTTTACTGCACCGCAAAATGTGCAACAATCACGTTTTCACACACACACACACACGCTTGAATATTTTCAATATTATATTATTACATTGTACTTGACGTCTTAACGAACGACCGGAAATGCATATTGGAGACTTTGCATTGCTCGGGCGGGTCTTTATATATTATATAATATTATGTTTCAAAACTTCCCTGCCTAAACGCAACCCGTAATTTTGCAAACAATGTCATGTGCGACGATTTTTTAGCTTATATATTTGTTTTTTTTTTTGTTTCCGCTTCCCACCGCGCTTTTTCACACCTCTATTGTGTGCGTGTGTGTGTAATATAGTGTTTTCGGGTACGTCCCAGAAAAACACTACACGGGGGGGTGTCCATCATACTGGCTAATTTGGGGTGTGCGACGACTTGACGGGGGGGCGTATGTGTATAGGTACGGGTCCCCGGCAAACATCTGTTGTGTTATATACTGTGTATATTTAATGCCATTGTTGCTGGCCACATTCGTATATGTGTGTGTTTATTATTTCGAATCGACTCTGTACCCCCCCCCCCCGCCCCTCTTGGTTCTCCCTGTACCGTGTTGGGTACAGAGAGAGCAACGGCCCTGACCAACAGGACATGTCTTAAATAAACGTTTTTTGACCGGGACAAACTGAGTGGCTTTTAGTTGGTCGACTCAAGGCTATGTCGAGTTGGTCCCGACCTTATTTATTAACTGTACTACTTGCATTTTCCTCTTTGAAGAAAAGTACCATATTATCTATCAGTGTAGCATTGCTTTAACCCTAGACCACGGTTGTCTACAGTTGACTCACTGCCGAGTATAACGTATACCCACTGTTGATAACGTCTTATATGTATATGTTTCTTTTGCAGGTATGTCCACCACCCCTTCGGACGTGTTTTGCAGCGTACCCGGCCGCCTGTCGTTGCTCAGCTCCACATCTAAGTACAAAGTGACCGTCGGCGAAGTTCAGCGCAGACTGTCGCCGCCCGAATGCCTAAACGCTTCCCTGTTGGGCGGCGTTCTCAGGAGGTGAGTTTTCCAAAAACCGTTTTCTCATCAATTACAACGTTATCGTCTCCACACTGTGCGATTTTTTCAAACCGACCTACTCGGACATTCCTAAAAAAAATCACAATTAATTGGACGTTATCGCGTTAACTCGCCCAGCTCTGCATGCACTGGCAGCTTGTGACTTTATGAGGTATACATTCTCGCTGTTATATTTCGCTGAACCGAATTATCGTCAGGTTTGTTGTTTTGACCGAATAAAAAATTACTACCGACACGAAAAAACGTGACCGTCCGGGCATTATGTAGCGGTATAGTGCGGTAGCGAATAATACCGTGTACAAAACAGATAGCGCAGTTGGAAACGGTGAAAAGTGAAAACAACCGCATTATCTCTCCGGGAATTGGTCGACACGGCCGTTTACCTTCCGTGCACACTTGGGTACAGCGCCCGGTGGAGGGGGGAATAGATAAAAAAACATATAATAATAAAAAAAAAAAAGAATCCAAAACTGAAGAATCGAATGGCATTTTATGAGCTCAGTGACTCCTGGCGTCTTGGCGACCACCGCGGACCACCACTCTAAGATCGCCCAGAGATGATAAACTTAAACGCCCGCCATCCCGTACATGTGTGTAATAAGATGTAAACGTTATTCGTTTTCTATTCCTGTTAACGACCGACGGTCGTGTAGGTACTAATTTTTAATATTTTTTTTTTACATTATGCATGCTTCCTTTTTCCTTCGTAAAGGTGCACATTAATCGCAATAAATCGATTTACGATCCACTTTAAAAAAAAAAAATCGAACGAGTCCTATGTATATATATAGTGAAAATATTAAGCACCTGTTTGTGCATAATAATATTACAGTTCGGACGCTTAAAAACGACACGAGTCGACGACGAAGCATGAAAACGCCTTTTTTTTAAATTTGGGCGGTCATAAAGTTTTTTTTTTTTATCGACACTGGCCTGTTTTTTTTACTAATCTTATAATATGTATCTTCTAGTGTTCGCCTTATCGCCCTATATGTAGGTATAATACTCAACAGCTACTACTAACATTAAATTATTTTTACAATATTCTAGTCTATTTTACTGATCGAGTTTTTCCACAGATCGTAAATTCTGCCTAGAAATATTATCATAATAAACAAACGTACTTGAACTATCTACCATCTACTATCTACTAGATGCATAAATCGACATTTGGATTGAATTGATTTTTATGATATATTTCCTGATAATGAAAAAAATTGAGCATTGTTTCCCGTCATAGAAGCATTTGTAAATGTTTTACTACTCTATATTATTACAGCTCGACTTGCACACTGATAAAAAAAGGTCCCACCCGCTGTTTTGGCCGTGTAAAAAAAATATAATAATATACCGCCTACAATAACTGCCACTGTAGTATATATTGTTCAACTAATAATATAGCCATATATTGCCTGTTATTATTATTATTATTCCGTTCGGACAGTAAATAAAAATGGCCGGCGGACAAGATGTTATCTTTTTGGCGGCAACTGTCTTATCTTGTGACTCGTGCCAGTATACGGCTTAAGTGACAATAATTGCTATTATTGATTATAAATCCGCCAAGACGTCCAGTGTTCATAATATCATATGATTATAACATTGACAGTTGTAAAACCAGATATATACATTATACACTAATGATATGTTAATATGTATACATAAGTATAATACCGGTATAATCGGAAATTTTACTTTTTTATTTTTTTTTATTTTATTAATAAATTTACATAATATTATTAAGATATTTATTTTTTTTCATGAATGAAACGAACGATATAAATTTAAAAAAAAAAAAAACGAGACGTGCCCAGGAAACACGTTGTATTTTATCGTGTGAACTCAAACCTCGTTATAATAAAAGAGAAACAATTTTTCATTCAAATTCGTGACAGTCCAATTTGCTACAATATAAATTATATAGACACTGCGTTCAGACACCATATTGCCGGTTCTTTTTTCCTGTTAACATTTTTAGTCGGTTTTGGCGTTAACAAGACTAGTATGCTGTTCAAGCCGTTTGACTTCTGACAAAAATAATTAATTAAAAAAAAAAAATTCTTTTCCAGGGCGAAATCCAAAAACGGCGGAAGGCTGTTGCGCGAAAAGCTCGAGAAAATCGGTCTTAACCTGCCGGCCGGCCGAAGAAAGGCCGCCAACGTAACGCTGCTGACGTCTCTCGTCGAAGGTAAGTGCCACCCAGTGCCTAAGAGTCTAAAATAATATTATACTTGTACGGTGTGGTAAAGGGCATTTCACAATTCACTGTATATTATAATACCGCTGCTGGTCTCAGCAGTGATACCGTTATACGCGGGACTCGAGATTATAATAAGCCGGCTCTTGGGACGTTTGGGCGACCGATAAATGACCCACATCCACATAATATATAGGTACATATTATGGAAATTATTCGAGTGTGTGTGTGTTTATATAAGACACGTCCTATTGCGGAAGATATCGGCCGTCGATAAATCTAAGACCGACGCGACGTGTCGTCGGCAGAGATAACGACTAGGAAAACAAAAGCGCAAAGACCGGTCACCGCAGATTGTACAGAAGAGATTGCGAGATCATAATAACGTTATTATCGTTATAACTGTATTATAATATAATTTATAGTTTTTCGTACAAATATATTACATTATCTAAAAACGGACGTCGAACGCAAAAAACTAATGAACGTCGCAATGTGTTTTGTATAAATACCCATTTTGGTTTTGACCGCTTCAATTATTATTTGTACATAGAAAACACCATGGAAACGGATCAGGTTCAAATTCCGTTTTAAGGCCGCCCTCAACTCGAGGCTCGTAGCCAGAGTTGTGCAAATTATAGCTGCTGTTACTCTAGACGTTTTTATGTAATTATTATTATGAACATTTTGAAGTGCAATGCGGGTACAAGTACATAGGGAACCGGACAGGAGGGTGGGTAGGTTTAGCGCGTAAATCATAATATTATACCATACCAGTTACCACTGTCGGACTCTTAACTCTATCGTGTACCTACCTATATGGATTGTCTTGTTCGTCAACGCCATAATAATATAACGTTCATCCTGTGGTTTATATCCTTTGAGCCGAACCTCAGGACACCGCCGGTGTGTATTGACTCGTTATAGCCGACCGTGTACAATACAACACGACCCTGTTGCGCATTCCTAAGTGCTATTTGTGCGCCAAAGAAAAATATATATATTATAATATTATCTCTTCACGGAGGAGACGGAACACACCGGAGAGACAACACAATCGGCCGACTTGTGTATCGCGCGAAAATCGTCGCCCCGAGGTGTAAACCGTACGGTATATTAACGCTTTTTTTCCGCGGTTTGTATACATAATATTGTATTTTATTTATACTGTTGAGTGTGTGTGTATTCAACTGGAGGAGAGCTGCTCGGTCTTTAGCGGTGGCAAACGTGCGAGATAACAGCGAGGTGTCTGATTTATGGCCGACCGGCTGGCGAAAACAATGAGCCTACGACAGCCGCGGTGGTGTAGAACAAAATAATAATAAAGCTTTAGCCGTATAAAATTCTAGAAAAAAAAAGAAAACCGATAGATTCGGATCGAAGAGCGATTTAGATCTATCAAATATATCATTATGTGGCCCCACAAGACACGACCCAGTGGCGGGTTCAAGAGTATAATAATAATACAGCAGAGTTTTTTTTTGACACTGTCACTTTTCACTTCAATATACCTGATAATTTTGTTGAATTTATTATTATCCTCAACCCTCTCTCTTTGCATATACTTTGTATAAAAGTACCGCGTATACCATAAATAAGAACATATTAGGTATACAAATAGTTTTTTTTGTAACAGATAAATATTTTTGAAAAACAGGCCACCAGAATAGAAAAAAAATGTTTCTCCCATTAGGTAAATGCAACATAAAAAGTTGAGGGTTAAGTACGGTTTAACATGTTTCGCAGTATCGAGAAACCACACTCACATCTTACTTGAGTAACTAGTAACTTTGCAAGGGGGCAGGATATGCGTTGGTGTATTATCAATTTATACTTTACCGAGAAATTTTTAAATCACGGCGTATTGATGAATAATAACAACAGTTTATCATTTTTGTTAAACTTACTAAGGGGAAAATCCCACTTCCCCTATGGGTCTACCCCGGGGGGGGGGGCTGTATATAGTATATTCCATTGTGGAGACGTTAAGCGCCGGTTAGGAATAGCCGTTGGTAAATGATTTGTCCGACTTGTTTTATTTTGCATAGAAAGCAAAGACACGGACACAAACACAGCGGGATACGACTTCCGGCTTTTTTTTTTCTACAGTGAAATGTCCTTGTCCTGTCGGTTAACCGTACGGGAGGTGCGTGGCCGACAAATCGACTCGTTTTACTTAAGTTGTACAGTTGTAAAAAAAAAAAAAGCATAGGATTAAATAAAACGTTTCTTTCGTGGAATACACAAAAGTGTTGTAAAATATAATACCAGCTCTCCCCGCGCGCATTTGACCGTTTCTTTATTTTATTAAGATTATAAAAATCGTTTTTTTTTACCGTCACACATCACTCCCGGGTGTCTTGTAACGTATAGGGACACGCTTGTGAGCATGTTTTTTTTTTATTAGTCGCCAATAATATAATAATTACCCAGCATACCGTCGGCGCCGGGTTAACGCCACTATTTTTATAAATCTAACAAGTATAATACTTGGTAAAATATTTTACTGCATCAGCTGTGTGCATGTCTCACACCTTTAACCGGCTACAAACGCTACCTTTGAAGTTTATTACAATAATATAATATATTTACAAGCGATTACTTCCGGGATTTTTTTACTAAGAAATTATTGAATATATGTAAGACAAAAAAAAAAACAAAAAATGATTATCATTTTGCCAAGAGGACTGTCTATTTTCTTTTCCTTTTTTTTTTTTTGCGAGTTTAACCTACTTAACTGGTAATACCGTTCGGCCTCGGCCGCCGGGTATAATAATAATAATAATAATAATAACAATATTATAATGCGGTACCTACATTATCAGCTGGTATTATGATTTCGATATAATCTCCAAGCGGCGGCGGCGGCATTGTCAGCTTAGTAAGTATATTATGTACACTCGCGGGTGGGAGTATGGCGTTTCAAAATATTATCTACGGTGAATTTTCGGTCGGTTATTATTTTTTTTTCTTTATTAGAACAATAGAAAAAACCGCACACGAGCCGCGTCCGCTGGCTCAATAGAAAGCCGAACATTACACACAAACACAGTGCTCTCAGTTCGATACTATGGATAATTTTTTTTTTCAATATGCATTATTATTATTATTATTATTATTATTATAGAATCGGAACCCTTGTTTTGTGTTTCCCGTGTGCATTGCGCAAGAACAAACAACGCGCGTGTGTATGTGTATGTAAGAAAACAGAGACAATTGTTTTTTCTTTCTTCACATACCAGTATGGCGGCGGAAAATTCGTCACGGGCACACGGCGCTTTTCAAAAAACGCCCCCGGCCGCGACTTCCCTTTCCTCGGTGCTACCTATCTGTTGTGACGGTGCAAGTAGGTCCGTCGTAACCACAGATCGAATAAAACCAGATAGTCAAGTGCACTTGATATTACGGTAAAACAATAGATTTTCAAAATAACGATTTTTTTATCGGTACGGCCAAATTACAGTGTCGAAAATTTTGTAGTACTCACTATTTATAATGATAACGTGTTGACTGATAAGAATTACTGATAACAAGTAGTAATGATAAGAATCGATAAGTCGACGTCCGCCATTTTTGTGGGATTTATGTTTATTGTTGTAGTGTTTATGTTTTATTTGTGATTCTGTGTTTAACTTATAATAATTATTGTTCATAAACATATTTTCATGTCATATTGTAAGGTTTTAATTCCCACAAAGATGGCGGAAAACGGTAACTTCAATTATCGCTTCTGGCGGCATGTACACTTGGTAATTTACTTTATTATGTATATATATCTGTGATTATGGATCTTTGATGTTGATAACACTACGGCTGATGTTTGATACAATTTCTTAGACCGCGCTGTACAACAGAAGAATTATTATGTTTTTTACGATTTTTTTGTTTACACTGACCTGAGATTATTTGTTTACTATCTGGTTTGATTTAATCTGCGGTATAAAGCGTCAATGGTATAATATAATCTCGGTTAGCTTCAGCTGCCTTTAGTTTTGTCTTTTAGCGACGAGCACTCCTTCTCCCCTGCCCTTTTTTTTTGGCTGATAAAACCGCCACCCGGAGCGCTGTCGGCCGCTATACACTAGCGCTCCGGGTGACTGAATTCGCTTCTATCCGCCACCGTATCGATGATAGTACACGGTACCTATTTTACAACTGTTATTACTTTTCTTTTTCTTGAAGATCTTACGATTAGCTTTCACGCACTTGTATGTATAAACGGTGAGCGCGGGGGCTTGGTTCGAAAATCGTTATTATTAATTGCCCGGCCCGTTTTTGTTTGCGCGCACAATATTATGTGTTTTACGTATATAGTAGGTATATATCTACTATATAGTACCTACTATACCTACCTATACATCAGGTACTGCTCGTTTCTTTTTGTTTTTTGGCTAGCCGCGCCTCGTGTGTCCGTGAGAAAAAATGTACCGTAGGTATACCGCGAAAAACCGGAATTTCCGGACGGACGCAAACCGCGGCAAAGTAGTTGAATGGGCGCACCGCGTTATCAATGAGCATATATATATATATATATATGTATGCATCGTGCACACACGCCCACGACAGGTACATAATATTGTAATAGCCAGCACGAAGCCCGGTTTTTAGGGTCACCCGCCACAATTTGACCTACCACCATTTGGGACTGTCGAATTATTATACTTGCCTCCCCCCCCCGTCCCCGCTTGTCTGATGGTGTGTTTCTCACCGGCTAAACGATAAGTACTTATCGGCGGTATCTCTTGAAACGTTACAAAGATCTCGCGATAACCGACTTGGAGGGTAAGTGCCGACGGACAGAGTGAATGTCTAAGATGTTTGCATCAAATTTTCAAGTTCCAATATTCGCTGATCGAGTAGAAAACTAATGAAAGGCCATGTAAATCAAGCAAAGCTCTGACACTCTTTTTCTGGAAAAATATGAATTTTTGACTATTATTTATTTTCACTATATTTTTTAATACTTTAAACATTTTTATCAGAGGGGGATGAGAAAGTTCAGACCTTTTTAAAACTCTGAAAGCTCCCACAGAATTTCAGTAAAAATTACTAAACCTTACGTGGGGTATGTGTCTGTTTAGTTGCTGACATTATTTAAGAGCCTGAACGAGTTAAGAAGGATTTTAAATTTCCCATCACCCCCTCTAGTTGTGGCAATCCTTATACGTAAAACAAGTTTGGACCGCGTTTTTTTCAAATAGAAACATATGTTTTTAATTTCATAACATTTAAAACAAATTTAAGCGTATGAATTATTGATTTTCATAAATCTGTTGGTTTGCTATGACTTTGCAAAAATATATTACATTTATTATTTTTATAAAATTGTCATTATTAGTCAGTTTTCCAAAATTCAGTACCCCATACTTGTTTTTCGTGTAACCGATAAAAGGTAAAAAATGTCCAAGTATTGAAAAGCATACTGAAACTTGCACCTACAAATATAGGAAACAAAGTCAAGATTGCAACCATAGTTTGTGATTAGGCAAAAATACATTTTAAAGTTGCAAGTTTTCCAAATTGTTGTCGATGCACAATAATAATTCTTCACCTCATACGAGGATATTTTATAATTTTGTCGGTTTTCTCTGGACCACGACTCGTGTTGGTGGTATGTGACATGTGTTACCTATATTTTACTTGCGAAGAAATCCCTTCCAAAAAAAAAAAAAATTACCCCGTTAAGTGTGTAATAACATAATCTCATCCCATTTATTATAACGGACAAGCGAGAAACGGTAAGTACCGCACGCGAAATGGCATGTGAACATTTTTTATTTTGTCGTGGCGATGACTGAATACAAAACGTAGAATTTCTCGGCCAAGCACTACCGGTCGTAGCCGATGTAGTAAGTACAAGAATGTTTCCTTATAATATTATTATTCCGTCGAGTCCGGTATATTATATAGGTAGGCAGGTACTCGTGACTTACTCGCTCGGTTAACGCGTTAGTAGAAAAAATAATATAAATAAGTAAAGGAAGGAAAAAAAAAATCACTGTAGAATTAATAATAATTTCTTTTAATTGACGAACCGCCGCCGCCGCCGCCGCCGCTTTCCATTCTCCGTCTCACACCGATATGTCTTACAGTTCACACTATATGTTAGGTGGTTTTTATAAAAAAAAAAACCTATCAATAGCGGATAGGACTTGACAACTGTGTATGTGTGTATACAACGATGATGTGTTATCGTGCAATTGAAAATCTTAACGTCGACAGTTGACACTGTTCTAAATGTAATTACAATAATAACAGTTAACACATTTTATATTATGTCGTACACCTATTATTATTATTATTATTATACCGGTAGGAGCAATGCCGCCGCCGCTTTCTAGAGATTGAGATAGATATTGACAACAATGGATTAACAATAATATACCGCCGTCCGTATTGGATCCGTGAGAATATTATTATAATTATTACTACTTAAGTACTAAGTCAAAAGACTTCGGCGGTCAGTACTATAATGATAATAATTATTATTATTGTCTCTTCGTCTGGGCGGTGTTTGAGCGCAACAATACATGAATGTGTGACCCACGGGTGTCGACGACGGCGTCACAAAACGAAAAGACATACACACACACACAAAAGGAATATGGTCCAAGACGAGATGATATTATATATATATATATATATAGCGGATTCTGGTCCCTCGTGTGTGTGTAAAGATTAGTCTAGTAGCGCGTTTGAAGTTCAATAATAATAATAATAATAAAAAATACCTATAATTTTTTGAACTGTTGGCGTTTGGACGACGTGACGGGGCCCTCTACTAAGCCTATCAAAGTCAAAACTATTCGGTCTCTCTATATATATTATCACTATATCAAAAACGTTGACGGCACTACGCGGTAGTCGGTTTTTTTTTCTTTTTCTTATACTTACATGCTACTACACCGTGGTGTATAGTAAAATAATTAGCGGCGCCCGTTGTGAACACCGTCTTCCCCTCAAGACAATGCCTGTGATCGCGCTACCGTCGTCGCCGCACCACCACCGTGTGTACTACAACAATAAGAAAACCAATTTTCGATGGCCGATTGTTGTCGTCGTCGTCGTCGTCGTCGGTCTTGTATAATGTTATACACGTATTATTATTATTATTATTCTTATGTATATATAATATATATATATGTATGTGTATATGTGTATCGACGACGGTAATAATAATAATAAATAATAATAATACCAACACGGCGGCACGTTGTGTGTGCGCCCGGCCACTGGCGCCGCCTCGACCGGCCGGATAACTATATACTTGTAATATTTTCTTTAACGCGGCGCAACGATACCGGCGGCTTCTTGGGGCTTGTGTGTGTACTCTTCTGATGGGAGCTTTTTTTAAAAAAAAAAAACACACGGCTTCCGACCGATTATTATTCAATTAGGTTATCGACTCGGGTGAAATGGAAATGGGCAGACCCGGCGACGACGACGACCCTCCGCGAAAAACGACAGGAAATAACCAAATGAACGGCGCTTAACCGGATTTCGGTATACTTGGGACCCCCAAAGTTTCTGTGTATAACTCTACGTTGCCTGAAAGGGGTGTGAGGGATCGAAGACGGGCCCCTCGGCGCGTGATGCCAACAAAAATGGCGGAAAACCGTTGGGAAAATGGAAACTCCCCTGTCGACGTGGGGCGGGGGAGACTAAGGAGGGACACTTGGAAAAATACAATTTACTACAATTAAAAAGGGGGGTGGTGGGCTTAGGAAGGAGAGCTCTCTTAGAATTTCAGTAAACATTAAAAAAAACCTCACTCGGGGTTGCTGACATTTTCTAGAGCCTGGACAAGTTCAGAAGGATTTGAACTTCCCTAGCAGATGAAGAACAGAATATAACAGAACGAATTCAGTTCTGTAATTTCCCTCTAGTTGTGCCAATTTGTCGTACACTGCTAATTTGTATATATTCTTGTTATAAACATACCACTCATATGCTTGTTGTATATTTTTCTAATAGAAAAAAACAATTACATGTTGAAATAACATTAAATTAGCTTAGAGAACATTTTTATTTTACCCACCCTCCCTAAAATTGTACATAATTTTTGCATGAGCTTTAATGCCATCAAGTGTACGCATACCCTGCGTGGGCTAATATATTTAATAAAATTCTCAACAGTTAATTGAAATGATTGAAAGTACACGTTTGACTGTTGAAATGTTTATGAATAATTGAAAAATTAAACATGTTTGTCCAACAGCTGCACGTTTTTGGTCATTACTATTAGGATATATATGTCAGTAGGTCCTGTTGACTATTTGTGCACGAGCAAGTTTGTAAGTTGTACCCATGGAAGGGGTGTAGGTATGTTTGAAAACGAATTGCCATTGTTAAAATTTAAAACTAATAAATAATTCTTACATGACTGGTCGAAACGAACAACGAGCGAGACCGGAATTGGCTATTTTTTTTTTTTTTTGTTAGAGTTTCTTTTTTTCCTCCTTCCCGGCTTTTTACACGGGTATAGGTACTCTCTCGCGCCGATTATCATAATATTATACACCTATCCTTTTTGATAATTGAAATTTTTTTTGTTTTTAACTCGGTATATTATCATGCCGATGAAATTGCCAATTAACGGTTAGGCGCCGACTAGGTGAAAGCAAATTACCGGCAAATTGTTTTAACAAAGTGCGCGGCCGGTGTTATTTTTCAGATAATGAATTTCAGAGTAGGTTCTAGGAACGAGCTTAACAAAAAAATAAAATATATATAAAAAATAGTAATAAGTACACGTAATAATATATATATATATATAAAACGTTTAAACAAAAATGTACACGGTCATCGTCGCTTTGGCGTGCAGCCGTTATAATGCGACAGACCACATGCGAATGTAGGTGTATATTTTACTATTAGTATAAGTACTATACTTACCTACTGGAATAGGGGTTGGAGAATGCCACATTCTATCATCACCGTGTGCACACAATTTATAGTTTATAAAACATGGCCTAATGAATAATTGTTGTTGTTTGTTTTCATCAGGCGAAGCGATACACTTGGCTCGCGACTTTGGATATGTGTGCGAAACCGAATTCCCAGCAAGACAAGTGGCCGAATACCTAAGTAGACCGCACACCAGCGACCCGACAGAGTCGTACCGGAGAAAAGAGCTGATACACGCCACAAAGTGAGTAGTATAAGATGTTATAATATAATACACTTACAATTGGTTTTTTTGTTATTAACGATGACATTTTCCCTATTTTGCCCCCGTTTCAGACAAGTAACCAAAGAGCTGATGGACCTGTTAAACCAAGACCGTTCGCCGCTATGCAACACCAGGCCCCAGCACATCCTCGACCCGATCATACAGCGCCCTTTGACGCATTTCTCGCTCATATCGCACGGGTTCGGCAGCCCGGCCATCGTGGCCGCACTCACCGCCATACAGGTTTGTAATGTGTTTATCTATTTCGACCAAAAAACATATCCACAAGTCAAAAACCTGACACAAAATGCGGACTACTTAGGATGGTGGTCCGCGAGTTGGGCTCTGTAAGGAGACACCTAACCTAACCTACGTCCCCTTTCTCCACCTCTCAGACATTCATTCCTTATAGTCGAGTAGAGATGGGAGAAAGGGGAGGTAGGTTAGGTTTCACCAGAACTGGCCATTACCTATCTACTTTTGACCCATGTATAAATAACAACTGAAGGGGGTGTCTATGGTCCCTCGCCGTTCCTCTTTTCCTGTATCTACACACCGTCTAATAATTATTGTCTTTTCGCAGAATTTCCTGTCGGAGTCGCTGAAACATCTGGACAAAGTGTACCCGTCGGGCAACAGTCTGTCGTCGCAGAGCAACCTTCAGGACCAGAAGCCCAAAGATCTGGTAGGGCTGGAGCTCAAGAAATGAGCCTGGTCCAGGCGGGCCCATGAACCTGCCGCCGGCCAAGACCACGACTCCCGTCGTCCGTCGCCGTACGCCTGTCAGTGATCGACACCGTGTGTGTGTGTTTCGAAGCAAACAAGTTTATTATCAATGCATTTTTTTGTACACAAGTTATAAATAAGTAGAAAATCAAAAACGGACGGATAGTACTTACTTCGAAAACCGATCACAATATAGGTAAAAAAAAAAAATAAAATAATAAACGTTGTAATTAATATATATATATATATATATATATTATATGTATAATTTATTGTGTGTACACTATGAAAATAGTAATCTTTATTATTATTATTTTTTTTTTTAATTTTATTACATTTGTAAATAATATACCAAATTTTATTATATTTTTTTTTTTGACAATCCAAATTAGAAACTTAAAATTTTTTTATTTTTTTGTACATTATTATTCTTGTATACGTAAACAAAAATCATGGAACAATAAAAAATGATTTCCCGCCTTTATGTGCCATTTCTATTTTCTAGTACACGGTATAACGCCCCTTAAAATGTATAATGTTATACCACTATGCCATATTTAAGATTATTTTAACGCTACAAATTAAAAATGTAATATTAAAAATAATATCTATGTAAAACTTAGTGACGTTAAAAATTCTGATTTTCACAAAAATCAAAAACCGATTTACCTACAATAATATATATTATGTCAAGTTGGAAAATTGGCTTTAAGATGATTTACCCACACAATTTTGACAAATCCCTTTATATTTTTTATTTTAATAATTACACTTCTATTTTCAATTTAACAATTTTGTGTCCATATTTGCAGACTGCGTGTGACTATATTATGTTTTTTTTCCGCCGTTAAATAATGCGTTTAAGGTACATAATCAAAAAACTAAGTGTAAAAGCGTATCTAGTTTTGTAGACTTACTAAATATAATATAATATATTCAATCGGCTTGCCATAATTTAAAACACATGATCTTCGTTTTTATTTATTATTATTATTATTATTATTAATTATTATTGCTTAATTATTTGATACGTTTGAAGTTTTATTTTATTTTAATTTGTAAATAATAATTTTTACCAGAGCCAAATTATATTATATATAATTTCTTTATTGTTTAAATTTTCTCTTTTAATAAGTACTTATTGTGAAAAGAATTTTATTTGTATCTTATAAAAAAAAAAAAAATCATGTGATATATATGTGTATTGATTTGTATACTCCCCCAAAACATATTACAATGTATAGCGAACTTTACTTTAATCAGAAATTATTTATGAACAAATAACATAATATTATATTATTATAAACTGTACATAATATTATAGAAGAAAACAAAAAAATAATAATAATTATAATAATAATAATGTATCATTACATTGTGTAGTTTTTACATTGCTCAAAATATTACTAAATGTTATTATAAATAATTGTGTTATTTCTTTATTCCTTTCTTTTAGAAAATTCGAATTAATAAATTCATTCCATCATTATTAGAAGGTGTATTAGATTAGATTATTTTTTTGTTTGTATAAAAAATATGAAAATGATAAAACAAAAAAAGTAATAATAATATCTTTTTAATTTCTAATGGTAAATTTATTGGAAAACAAACTTTTTTTATTTAACAACAAAAACAATGATGTTTTTTCCTTATACATCATTTTTAGTAATAGGTAAATAATTTTTAGTAAATAAAACACTTTGGTCAATATGTATTCACTTTTATAATATTATACAGTTCAATATTTAAAAAAAAAAAAAAAAAAGGGTCGACAGTGACTAGTCTTGACCTATGTAAATTCAATTAGCGATTTTGACTTTTCAGTCCAACAACCTAGTTGTTGTGTCTTTTCATCCCATTGTTGTTTATAAGCCGTTGCCTCAGATTTAACTGCTTGATACGTCATACTGGAATATTTTTCATTGAACGATTTAAAAGTGTCAAACAACGATTTCTTACAAACCACTGACGCGCTACTTGGTTTGTCCATAGTCTTTTTCGTTACGCCTTGCTTACGGCCGTCCACCAGTACTTCGTGGTAGCTAAAAAAAACAATAACATTTGGGTCAAGCAGATAAAACGTTTGAAACCGACGTGGTCAAAAAATATTTACTTACCCGTCATTATTGAACTCGTCGCCTATTCTCCAGAGGACGCTCGAAGGACACGGCTTGCTCAAAGGGTTACTGTGTTTCGAGTCTTGGAAATTCAAGCTGGAACGCAATAAACTAGGGTACGTCTTCCCAGGTGTATTCAATCTGCCGACAACAGCTCTATGCAAAGCCGTATGAGAGTATGGACATTGGCCGCTGATTACCATCGTAGACAAATACACTGGGTCGATTAACAACGATAACATGGCTCCCTAAGCAAATAACGATGAAATAAAAAATGAAATTTCGTAACAATAATAATTACGCTATACTTGTACGCCTATGTGGTTCCACCTCAATATCTTGTCGCTGCAAGACATCGAAAGTGTAGGATCTCCTCGTCCTGGTTTGGTCCTGACGGCTCCAACAGTGTGATACGCAGGCCCCGGTAAGTTTAGGTCTTGCTTGGTTTCCTCGAGCAAACATTTGGCGCCGGTGCGATGGATGTCGTCGACCTTTTGTTTCTTTACTTTCGAACCGATGTCTGTATCGGCTGAACGTTTTCTGCAATCCTCGTTTTTAGGAAATATTGACGCGTCACCACACGGCATCTGACTGGAGAAGAAATGAAATTTAATGCCAGGTTTTAGTGTCAAACGACAGTTAGGAGACGAAACATCAAATATTGTCTCAACGTCATGATGACGTGCTAATTTGATTTGACCAAGAATATAATGAACGAGACCTCTTCGTGCTAAGACCTGATTAAGAATATATATTTTCTAAGAATTCTTTTTGGTTTCGACTAAAACATGTTATATTATTATAATATTACACAAAATAATCAACTGTTACCGTACCTCAGCATGGCTGTCGTTCACCACTGTTCCTCGACTGGAGAGTTTACTCTTTCCGATGCACTTGGTACCTGTAGCCAAACTGACAACCATTAAACGGTTTTCGTCGTCCGACTGGACGATCCCGGACAACGTTGTCCATTCTTTGCCCAATATTGGTTTACCCTTCGATGGCAAGTTGTTGAATTTTTCAAAACAAAGTAGTGCTACTTTATCTGCAAATTCGTTCTTCGAACCGTTGACCGACATGTTAAGACGTAATATTATTTTAAATCGTTAGAACTACATTGTTTTTTGTACTTTAGTTAACTTAAAACACTGCAATTTGCAATAAAATATAAAGTAGAGAGCATTTTAATCATGATAGTAAAATTGCTATATTCGAAAGACAACATTGTGATAAGCCCGGAACACTGATAACAGCTGATAAACGAGCCAGCAATATTTTGATAACAGAATGTGTCATGGCGTTGGTGTATGTTGTGCTGCCAACACTCTATTATTCTAAGGGGCAGCCCATTGTTATACGAAATCAAAAATATTATTATTTTACACTAGTATTGAGGAAGGGCACGGGTCGACAACGAAAAGCAAAATGTATAAAATAATTACATTTAGGCCGCCGCACAATGTGTGTGACAATATTCGGCGACATAGCAAAATATGAACCACCTACACGTTGTTTGCCTGAGGCCCGGTTTTTCAATTGCAATTAAAACTGACAGTTAGTATGACTTAGCTGATGGTTAACGTTATTTTCCAGTTAAACTGTTTATGGTGTTCCAGTTAAGCCCAACCGACGGTTTTAACTCTCGGTTAAATTAACTGCTACTATTACTATCAGTTAATAGATTAACCGACGGTTATAATCATCCGTGCAACTATTTTTTATAATAAAAAGTTATCAGTTTTTTTTAAATTTAAAATGAATTTCGAAAATAAAATGTTGTTCTATGACCGTGATGAAGAATATTTGGAATATATAAATTATCAACGTAGACCGTGTGTTGTCCGTGGGTTGATCATTTTAATAAATGGGACGATTATGATTTTAAAGTAGGTACGCTTTAACAATGAGTTGAAAAAATTAAATTACCTATGAAAAATTAAAGAAATTATTTTTTGTTATAAAATTAAATTTATTTAACGGTGACTGCTAGGAAGCAGAAAACAGTACCAGGAGTTAAGAAGAAAAACCAACGTTAGAGCGCTTAACGACGGCGGTCTCAAGCAATAATAATTAAGACCGGCGGCCGTTAATCTCGTTTTGTGATAGATATCTCTCATGAACTCCTGGTACAAATTAGACATTTTTCACCGTATTAACACAATCCCGGTGGCCACAATCCACGGTTAACAAACACTAAAAAACCATTAACCACCCTAACCTAATCAGTAATCATTAATCTACGGTCAAATAATCCATTTTTGTTAGCACATTGATACAATGCATTAATGCAATCTTTAGCAACTGCCATAATATAATATTATACATTTTATGTAAGTTTTCTGTCATTGGATATTTATTATAATTTCTATTCGGCTAACCGTTGTTGAAATAATAATCATAATGATAATTGTATATCATTATATTTGTTAGATTTTTTGCTAAAAATGTAGATACCTAATAATATTTTTATTAGTTATTAGGGAAAGGCAGCAGGATAAATAAATTACAAAACTAAATATTTCTAGAAAATTAAATATACGATAGAATCAGTTATATAAACTAGTACATAAAACGAGTGAGTATATAAAATATCGACCATCAAGTGTGACGTAAAATAGCTAAATAGGCAAACAAATGGAAACTATTTTGTTACATTGACCTAAGTCTTCAGCCTTCGATATCAGGTTAAATATAAGTCCCAAAAATGTACATTAACACTTTAAGTGTAGATTTTGAATTTGTTTTAAACATTATTATTGGTTTTTTTTAAAAAAATTTGTATTTGCTATTATACTGAAATATACCATACAAATTTACCGTATTTTTTCTCTAATATTATAATGAATGAATACTCCAATTATTATAGTAAATAAATGAAATTTATTTTTTGTTTGAAACGAACATTACATCGAAATTAAACATAATTTGTATTATAATTTCGTCTTGTCTTGAGTTATTAGTGTATTTCCCAAAAAAATGCAAAAAAAGGTATGCCAACGGCACGTAGTGTTCCCAAGCGGTCACCCATCCAAGTACTAACTACGCCCGACGTTGCTTAACTTCAGTGATCGGACGAGAACTGGTGTATTCAACGTGGTATGGTCGTTGGCGAAAGTAAAGTGGTTATTTTGTACATTTAAACATTAAACTATAACTATTATTGAAATAATACTTTATAACGTACTGCATACAATTTAGTTTCTCGTAATCAAAAAGTACAAAACAAAACAAATTGTGGGTATACAAAAGTTTAATAGTTCAAAGTTATAGTTAATTCAATTACACTCGTAAACAAAAAACACAAGACAAAACAAAAATTGTTTGGTATAAATGCTAAGTTAAAGTGAAGACAAAACAATTATAGGTGTACAGAAGAATAAGTTCAAAATTACACAACAAAATATTTATATAATAAATAATTATATAGTAACAGTACCGGATTCACGTTACCAAGACCCAATTATCAACATAAATGTCATTTCGTTATTAACTGGCCAACCATTTTAACACTTTTCATTCGTTTTTAAAATCTAACGTGTGTTAACCATACAATATATATTTTTTATAGTTTTTTTTATCTTACTTAAGTGTTTCTGTACAAAAAAAAAAATTGTATAATCTATTTCCACATACATTTTTGACCTTTATTTGGTTTTACTTCATTGAAGTTTGAAAGTTAAAAATTATGAGGATAATCCGAGTGCTATGATATAAGAAAGAAATGTGTTTGTTTATACGGACATCTAGTGGATTATATGGGTCGTTCCCGGTGTTACTGTAACCCGAGACGACCCGCGGTGGAGAAGGAGCAAGCCCCAAAATCCAAATTTCTCCACCACATTTACTATATACAAAGTCCTGAAATCAACACTAAAAAGTAGGCAGATACCCGGTGCTGACTATATTCAATAAATGTTGACCGTCAGACTACTTACCGAGCAAAGATTCTCGCACAGCCCAAACCACGTTCTATTTATCAAAAAACTAAACGCACAAAAAAAAAGGCAGAACGATTATTCGGAAAACTCAAAAAAATTTGCAAAATTTGCACGAAAACGCGCTAAAAGTTGCTCTGATTTCTTGTAAACATCAATTACAATTATAATAGAACGTTTCAAAAAGATTTTGTAAAGATATTGAATAGAATCGTTAAAAAAACCTGCAAAAAAATTACAAACTCAAAAAAATCGAGCGTCAGCGCTATCTACCGGCATTCGCAGCAAATGTATTAGTGTATAGTGGCGCTCTCTGTCATTTTACTTTACACCCAAAAAGATAGTACTACTGTTAATAAGTTTGCTGATTAATGGGAAACGTTTTTTTTTTGTTCTTATACAGAGTTGAAAAAAGTTAGCCTTAAGCAAGGGTAACCGCTTAAGGAAATCGATTTTGTATCTCTTGGACATCTAATATTTGAAATGACTTGATGTGTGATTCAATATGTACCTAAACCACAGTCGATCATTAGTGGTGTTACTTAACCTTTGTTGATCGTTGCATTTATAATATGAATGCTATCATGCCCAAAATAGTTAAACCTTCATATACCTGAAATATTTTTAATGGTAAAAAAAAAAATTTAGGTTAACTTTTCAAAAATTGTATTTTGTTTTATAACTGAAAGTGCTGTAATTAGTATTATACTTAAAGAATATCCCATACAAGAAAACTAATCTCAAGAGATATTGTGTACTTTTTAAATGGATATTTACAGCAAACGTACAAAAGTAACAAAAATACTAGTCCAGTATAAAGCAAGCCAAATTATAAATTAGTAAAGTTGTTCAAGCGTGGTATTTAATTTGAAAGTGATTTGATCACCAAGTACAGTCTAACTTAAGTACAGTTTAAACCTGTACAACCAAATTAGTAAAGTTTAAACCAGTATAGTCTAAACCAAACACAGTACAACACTGCCTTACTAACGTTTTGAAATTTTCAAGGGCAACGAGTTGTACACCTTGTATATTAAAGAATTTTAGTGGGAATTTGTTTTTAATAATTTTTGGATTTATAATGTAAGCAAAAGTATCGTTGGTGTAGTACGGTATTCAGCTTTCTTGGTGTTGTTTTACATTTACATCTTAAACATGAATTTCAAAGGCATCTTTTTTTTTTAACAGCAATATTTTTCGTTATGCTGTCAGCATCTACAGGCAAAATTTGAATTTAAAAAGTAATTTTTATAAAGGTGTAATGTGATAAAATAAAATTGAGGAATTAAAAAAAAAAATACAACAGTTTTTAAACAGCTATACCACAATAGTTTTGTATTTGAAAAAATTAAAATTTACTTTTCACGTTTCAGGTGTTAATGGAAGTAAGTTTTTAATTAAATTGTACTACTTAAACTATTAGTGCATCCTAATGATGTAACAAACTTCTAGTTGTGAAATTATTCAAAAAATTGTAAAATGTAAAAATTATTACAACTAAACGTTTTGAATTGACAATTGAAAATTATAATACCTACCGTTATATAAGGTGGTTGAAAAATAAAAACTATATAGAGAAAAAAGTATTTGGGTTTTTTTTTTTTTGGTGTTTGTGAAAAAAATGCAAAAAAAGTATGCCAACGGCACGTAGTGTTCCCAAGCGGTCACCCATCCAAGTACTAACTACGCCCGACGTTGCTTAACTTCAGTGATCGGACGAGAACTGGTGTATTCAACGTGGTATGGTCGTTGGCGAAAGTAAAGTGGTTATTTTGTACATTTAAACATTAAACTATAACTATTATTGAAATAATACTTTATAACGTACTGCATACAATTTAGTTTCTCGTAATCAAAAAGTACAAAACAAAACAAATTGTGGGTATACAAAAGTTTAATAGTTCAAAGTTATAGTTAATTCAATTACACTCGTAAACAAAAAACACAAGACAAAACAAAAATTGTTTGGTATAAATGCTAAGTTAAAGTGAAGACAAAACAATTATAGGTGTACAGAAGAATAAGTTCAAAATTACACAACAAAATATTTATATAATAAATAATTATATAGTAACAGTACCGGATTCACGTTACCAAGACCCAATTATCAACATAAATGTCATTTCGTTATTAACTGGCCAACCATTTTAACACTTTTCATTCGTTTTTAAAATCTAACGTGTGTTAACCATACAATATATATTTTTTATAGTTTTTTTTATCTTACTTAAGTGTTTCTGTACAAAAAAAAAAATTGTATAATCTA